CCTCGTGAATGTGGCCGCGCCACAGGGCCGCCACTCTGTCCTAGCGCAGGTAGGGAAGGGCCCTTTGCGCCGGCCGCCACCGAGCTCCTCGGACGCCGGGCCTGGGACCGTGGGGGTGGGGTAAGGTTCGGGCAGCGCGGCGGAAGACCCGACAGGATTGAGTAAGAGCCCGGCCGTGCCCAACTCCACCGACAAACCTCAATAACATAAAATTGGTGGTGATGACAGAGGGCGTGTCTTAATGCAGCACTGAATTTGACTGCAAGGCGCCCCCTCCTTCCTCCCTCCCTGGTCAGCGAAGTGGTTCGCAGATCCGCAGGTCATTTTGTCCAGTTACCCTCATCCGGGCGTACCTAAGCTGTACGACTGCTTCTTTGGTGAAGTTATCTAATAGATGATTTTCATTTAATCGTAAAAATGTCAACCGTAAAAATTAACCGGCTGATAATTTCCATATTTTATGATCAACTGTATTACATGATCGTAAACCTTAATGCTTCAGTAGAGTGTGAGCACTAAGTAAAAGACATTTCTTCTAAAAACCTCCATGTGTTAAAGGTCAAATTCCCTAGTCCTTATCTAATAAAAGAGAAACATGGTAATTGGCATACTGCCGCTACCCTTCCCATTGGCTAATTAGGGAGATATGCAAATTAACTGTCAGCCAAGATGGGGGCCGGCAGCCAGGAAGCTTAAACTGAACATGAGGCTTGCTTGCTTCAGTGACGGAGGGCTGTAAGGTTCCCCGCCTGCCTTGCCGGCCTCTCAGCCTGCAGTTTAAGAAACATAGTAACAAATAGAAGTTAAAAAAAAAACCAGAAACCAGCTTTCAGGGAGCTGGGATCTCAGAGCTGGAGTTGATACAGAGTTTTGATTGTAGAATCGAAACAAACCAGATAACTGCTTTCAGAAGCAGAAGCCTCAGAGCTGGAGCCAGGCTAAAGCTGGCCCAGAATTAAAAAAAGAAAAAAGAGAAAAAGGAGCAGTTGGGAGCTTCAGTCACAGCCTGAAAACAGCCCTCAGCCCCTCACCCAGACTGGCCAGGCACCCCAGTGGGGACCCCCACCCTGATCCAGGACACCCTTCAGGGCAAACCAGCCAGCCCCCACCCATGCACCAGGCCTCTATTCTATATAGTAAAAGGGTAATATGCCTCCCAGCACCAGGATCAGCGGAGCCACGAGGCCTCCCGGCACCAGGATCAGCGTGACAGAGGGCGGCGCCACAACCCCCACCCCTCCCACGGGCCCTGTTTTGTGTGTGATGGGGTAGAGCCATAACCTCCCCATCGGCCCTGCCCTGAGTGTGAGCGTGGTGGCGTCCCAATCCCCTGATCGGCCCTGCTCTGTGGGTGATAGAGGGCCGTGCCCCAACCCCCTGATCCGCCCTGCTCTGTGTGTGACAGGGGGCGGTGCCCCAACTCCCCAATCGGCCCTGCTCTGAGCCCAACCAGGGGCTGCACCTAGGGATTGGGCCTGCCCTCTGCCACCCGGGAGCAGGTCTAAGCCAGCAGGGCGTTATCTCCCGAGGGGCCCCAGACTGCGAGAGGGCACAGGCCAGGCTGAGGGACCCCCCCGTCCCCCCGAGTGCACAACTTTTTGTGCACCGGGCCTCTAGTGTAATATAAAATGTCTATGTAAACATTTGAAAAACTACTTAAATATTTTACAGGCATCTTAATATATTTTTGTGTGGGTTTTTTTCACTTTAAAATGTGCAGTTTATTGTATGCCTATTATATTCCTTTTTGTTTTTTTAGTCTTTATTGTTGAAAGTATTACATATGTCCCCCTTTTTCCCCCCATCGACACCTTCAGCCAACTCCCCCACTCTTGCCCCAGGCCCTCACCATCCCTATGTGGATTTTTTTTGAATATTAAAAGTATTCTTTTTCTGTTCGTTTGTTAGAGTTTCATTAGCTTTTCTCATGAAAAACACCAAGAACAGTTTGATACAACAAAAAAGAGGAAAGCAGGCCATGTGAGTTAAAATTATTGACAAATAACATCTTTTAATAAACGAAGATGTCACGTGGAGAAAACATGCAAGAACTAACTGTCCTGCATCCTTATACCACTTCTGATCACAGGTAGCAGGATCTATCTTTTAGTGTTTTATGGCATTTTTGTTAATCTGTGTCAAGCAATTTATTCATCATTGGTTTCTCTACTTGTGTATTCTCAACCCCTTAATTCATCTTAAGATGCTTTGGTTAACCTTCCCAACGGAAACCCTAGTGCCTTGATCTACCTAGGATAAAGTCCACATTTTTAAATTTTGTCATTCAGAGCCCTCTAGTCACACTCTGACCTGTAACTACCAGACACACCTTCCAGCCAAAGTGGATTCACCCCTGGCCCCAGAACAAGCAATTTGCAGTGAGATTTCAGTTCATCTGTCTCATTGATTTTTTTCTGGCCCATTTCTAACCTGTCTGTGTTTTCAATTCCTGATATGACATTAAAAACTACACCAGTATGGTAGTTTGAATTCTTCCTAGCTCCCTCCCTTCCTTCAGCCTAGTTAAAGGAATACAGAAAACATTTGATTATCAGTTTTTTTAGTCTATCGACACATTCTTTACCACCACAGTCAACTTGAAGGTGACTACAAATTCCTCTTCAACAGCAGTGGTTGAATAAAACAGGGATTGAGAGGCCTGTAGTTTGAAAACTCTCCCTCCATCTCATCAATTCTGATAACACTTTCCAAGGAGGGGCTTGCAGTTCCCCCTCCACAGCTACCACCAGCATGTGCATAGTTGAGAATTACTAACATAGATGTGTACCATCTCTTGGTATAATTTTATTTTATAAGTATAGTTATTTTACTTAGTATTGCAAGGTGATAAAATCTTCCTGATATGGATTTATAATAATAGTGGTAATGTCCTTCGTTTTCAGTCATCACACTAAGTGATTTTCCCAATAAAAATTGTAGTTTTATATTCATCAGCTTCTATACTTTTCTTGATCCCATTGTGACCAACAGCTTGCATTTATGAGGATCAATCAGGACTTAATAGTAGAATTCAAAGTCATGAAACAGCAAATAAATTGGAATTTTCTTTTTTCTTTCTTCCACAATTACTGAAGTACCTACTCTGTTCTAGGCAGCATGCAAAGAATGGGAATTTAAGGCTTTCACTTTCTGGGGAGGGCAATTTTCACACAGTATGCTGTGATAGGGTAGTAAGTGAGACAATGGGAGCCCAATGGAAGTGCATTCAACACAGTCTTGGTTTCCTAGAGCAATGTGAACTTACATACCTGTAGATGATTGGGAGTCTGCCAGGCAAAAAGTGAGGGGAGAATATTGCAGGCATTAGCTTTGCAGAAATCTAAAGGTAAGGATTTCACTGCATAGAACATGAGCTGTAAAATATGAGGTTTAGGACGGGTTAAGTGGTGGCAGGCAGGCAGATCATGAAGTGCCCCTTAAGCCATATGACAAAAATGTTTATCTGAGGACAGAAGGGAACTATTTTAGGAGTACTTACCCTTCATGGACTCCAGGGAGTCTATCAACTTAGAAAAAGATTGCATTTTGTTTTCATTGACCTTTTTTTAACATTTTCTTCAATTACGAATGTATTAATAGTAACCGACTTTGCATCAATAGAAATCTCAGGTATTTTCCATTATAATTGTTACAGATTTCTCAGTATCACTTCTTTGAAATTAGGGTACCTGTATTTTTTAAACCTGCCACCATATGGTTATTTAATGCATAAACAATTACATATATTACTATACACAAATATAAAAGAATGGAGTGCCAAGCCAAAGCCGTGTTTAAAGTGGCTATATTCAGTTTATAATTACTGTGCCTTTCCTCCAAGCTTCAATCCATCTGTGTTCATATGCATGTTTACAGTTCTAAAGCATTTTCACTGATATGTGAGTAGTGGTTTATTACTTTGCAGAATGTTTCTTAATTTAGATTTGGTTGATGCTGCCTCATGATTTAGGCTTTTTTTGTTAGAAATAACACTAAACCGTGCTGTGTTCTTTTTAGTGCATGATATTAGGAGGCACATGATGCAGATTTCTACTGATGATATTAACTTTTATAGTTAAGTAAGATTAGGTATCTGCCAGGTTTCTTAACTGTAAAGTTAATGTATATTTTATACTCATCTATACATATAAAAGCTTAAGCAACCAAAAGACCATAACAACCAGCCAACCTGCTGGTAGCTGATGCACACTCGCCCAGACCTTACTGCTGGGGCCCTGACAGCCCCGATTCTGGTTGACCCACACCTCGGACCCAGACAGGAGGGAGGAGGGAGCCCAATTCCTCGCGGAACTGGCCTTTGGTTAGCTTGCTGCTGGGGCCAACCTTCCACAGTCCCTCCCTCCTGATGGGGGGTGGGGCGGTGGCTGGCCAGTTAACCTCCCACAGTCCCTCACCCCAGCAGGCTGGCACCCCCATCGGCCCGATCACCGGCCAGACCAAGGGACCACGCTCGTGCACAAATTCGTGCAATGGGCGTCTAGCTAATAAGTATTTTGGAGGGTGGTATTTTGAGGCTTTGTGGAGTTTACTCTTCTCTACTGTTCATTCATTTATATCTGTTTGGACTCATGGATTCTTGTTTTATTCAAAATGTTTCAATTCCTGCCTGTCAAGTTTATGTGGATGCTAGATTTCCCTGTATGTAACCAGTGTTCCAAAAGCTGTGCCCATTCTTCTAAACCCTTGCCAAAGGAGGAAGAGGAAAAAAAGGGCTGCAGACAGTGGTTGGTTGGATGGTTGGTTGGTTGGTTTGTTGATCAATCTCAGGGGAAAGCTTTCAGCATAGTAACAAAATGACGGGCAACTTGCCTAGGATATGGTCATTGATAATCTGAAATGTCAAACAAATAAAGGTAAAGAGGGAAGAGGGTACCTGGAAAGTAGCTAGGGAGACAATGCTGTGGGGTTTAATGCTGTGGGAGTTTTTTCTTTTTTTTGTGTTTTTTTAAATAAATCTTTATTGTTCAGATTATTACAGTTGTTCCTCTTTTTTCCCCCATAGCTCCCCTCCACCTCATTCTACCCCAC